AGCGTGAAACTTCATAAGCACAAATGTCAGCTTCCACAAAACATACAAATTTGAAATTGCTACTCTCTGTTTGTAGTAGCACAGCACATTTGTATCATCGTTAATTAATTGTCCGGCAGATCATTCTTCTCTCGATGAAGAACCAAATTTGTCGATAACTAATATAAACATTGCAATCTGTCATCTAGTGTGTATCAAACTCTCTTTAACCAGCGATGCAAATCGATAACAAGGAGATTATAAATGTGCATCGATGGGAATCTTTATTGTTTGATGTTCTTTGTTAATGTTCTTTGCCAAAGTTTAACCACAGACAAACAGACATAAAACTAAAAAGACAATTCTTCAAAAATATCATCAAGCGTATTTTGCATCCGCACTAGCACCATCTATCATCCATATCCCCAAGCATTGTTTTGCAACCGGACCATCCCTCGTTCACGCAATTTTTTCACTAGTTGCTTTTCCCCTGTTCTGTCAACGCGTCAGCTGTGTTGACTAAAAACAAAACAGATAAAAGTTAGTGATGTCGGTTCTACGAAATTTTCCGTAGATCTATAGAATTTATTGAATTCTGCAGAAATACGGATCCGTATTGCATCACTTAATAGTGCCCTTTCTGTATCAATCAATGATATTCATGGTGAAGTATTCAACATCAATAACTGGTAAAAGTTGATTGAATATTACAGTCATCAACATGATTTGTTCTCGAATTCTGTGTACATCGTACAATGTAATATTAGGAACGGAATGACTTATGTGCAGCAGATGTAATGTTCAACAATTTTTTTTTGTGTATTCGTCAGATGTGGTATGTGTCTCCAGTGGGATGCCTTGACCACTTATCATTCTCAAGAGCTGACATCTACTAACTAGACTTTAAAAAGAACTGGCATCACTGATAAGTACGAAATGTGGTGGCTTGCTCAATGCTTCGGTGGCGCCACCATGACAAATGCAAGCACATTCCCAACTAAAACATTATTTGCGATGATTGTGATTGTGAGTGTTATGTCTGTTTGTATGTGGTTTAACGTTACGATGGTATCAGTATTCAAATATTTTTACATGAGTATTTATAAAGAAAACTATAGTCCTTGTGACACCTCGAAATTAGAAAAAAATTAGTATGGCAACTTTATAGATTACTATCATGCGACCGATAAAGAAATTATCTTAAATGTAAGTATCGATCAATAAAGGTTTTTAAATATATTCATCGAATTAAAAGAAACATGAAAGTTAGGAATTACCGACATTAATCTTTATTTTTGTATATAGAACTTTGCAGAAGTTTCACGAATGGTTGGTTGGGCTGTCTCATAGCGTATGTATGAGAAAATGGAAGAGTTGTCAGTCTTCTTGAGTTGTTATCTGCGGCGGAAGCGAAACGGAAACGGAAAGTTTGACAGTTGTCAAAAATGGCATCATGCCCAACTGAATCCGATTTGGTTCTAACTAGTTTTCAATCTGACTAGTAGGCTTACTTAGATCGTGTTTTTCCGCTGCCGTTCCGCTTCCGCTATCATTGCGCTTGGGTCTTAAGTCACTCTGCCACCTTGTGTCTGTGTTTGTTGTGTTTCATGTGTGTTTTTGGGTGTCGTAAGGTGTTTCTGTGTGTTTCTTCGTGTCGATCGATAAAATGTGCCTACTGGCAACTATATCCTCAAGCATAACAAAACGCTGAAAATGACGGATCCCCCCCCCCCCTCGACTCATTCGCGCTTTGCTTAATGCAAAAAAGTACATCTGGTGGGAGAATTATTTGGAGCAAATCCTATCCCATCCCAGGACACCAGCTTTCGGAGTGAGACCAGAAAAGGAAAGCCAGCTGTATCACCAACTTGCTGCACATCTAAAGTGCTATCGTGGTCGTGCAGAGGAATTGGTTTATCGGTAAGAGCGATGGAAATGTTGATGTAAGTATTTTTCTTTTAGAACTAAGAACTTAATAATTGAAACAATCTCTATACAGCTCGATGAAATGCTCATGCAGTCAAAATTCACATCCTGAAAACCAGTGGAATTATCAAGCTGTGCGACCTAATCCGCAACGACATCATGGAATTGGAAGATCGCGAATTTTTCAAAATATCAACAATCGAATGTAAACATTATTAGCAGTGGTGCCAGAATTGATTAATACATTTGCTTATCATGCGCTGGAAAGGTTTTTATGGGTGTTTTAAGTGTGCCGAAGTGTGTTTTTGTGGGTGTTAGGACAAAGTGGTAGAGTGCCCCTTGGCTTATTACATGTTATAAAACATGAATACAAACTAAGGCTGTTCGCAATGCTGTTGTATTTTATAAGGACTGTTTCAATTTGAAACTAGAACAGAAACGCACCTCTCGCAATGCTGAGTTGCAGTTTCATTATTCGAGCACTATTTTGCACCAGATTTGCAACTGCTCGACTATTCTGTTTTATTTCTGAGCGAGTTTGAAACACGAATGGAACTCTGTTTCAAATTTCTTTGGATGTATTTAAAGATGTTTCGAAGAGCTTCACAAAAAAAAACGGAGAACTTCATAGATAATAGTAATGTTTATGGAACATGATGATTACAAACATCTTCTAGAACTATGCGTTGCGCTGATCGTGTTGCAGTTTTATTTTTGACAGTTTCAAATTATAGAATTGTCGAGTAGTTTAAAACAATTTTGAAACTCAGCATTGCGAACGGCCTAAAAAATTTGAACAGATTCAACAAATTCAATGAACCTACACAAAGAAAATTTCAAAGATTGTTTTTATGTGTCCCACACATGATTTTTTGCAATGTGATCAACAAATGATATCTATGTGTCGGACACATGCTTAATATGTGTACACATAAAAACCACGTGTGACCACACATACTATTCATTTGACACATAAATTTCATGTGTACTTCTGAGTGGATTCTGTTTATGTGCGATCAATTGAAAATCATGTGGAATATTACATGGAAATTCGCCAATAAAAATGTGTGGAATTTTTTGAGTGTACTTTACGAAAATTCTCTGATTGATGGCTCAATTCCCTGATAATCCAAGTAGTCAAAACGTTTCGCACGAAAATTCGAACACAAACGAACACACAAGTCATTCAAAAATTATCTTACTTCTCTTCCTGATCTCTGATCGCTGAAAAATCAGTGATGTTTCATTTCGATTAATAATTAATAGATGAATTTTTGACCGATGTGCTGTCATTTTTTCCACCAATACAATGAGAGTGCAGATCCCTTTTTAAACGATGGGTGATGATCCTCTGGAGGTCAAAAATATTAGATTTTTCGGAACGTTAATTAATTAATCGATTATTCGAATAAAAATCGGGCATCACAAGATTACTGTGAAACACAATTTCGACATCCAACGTCAATGTCTAATGAGTGGGCCCTACATATTTAAATAATGAGACAATTAGAAAGGGGCCGGAGCCAATCACTAATGACGTCCTCACGGTAACTTTAAAAAAACACGAGTGTGTGATGATTATCGTTGATTGTAGTGCCCATATAATTCTCCATTTTTAATGTGGTGGTGCTTGTTAAACTTTTTAAAATGAATGAATATATCCTAAAATTTTAAAATTAGTTTTCTTTAATTTAATTTAGTTTCAATCTGCGCCACCGTTGTAGATTTTACATTGAAATTTGCCAACATGGTTAACATAGTCAAGGCCAACTTATGTTTCTTAATCCCACGGTGACAAATTAAAATTCTAAACAAGTTTAACAGATGATCGAAAGAGGTTATGAAACAGATTTAAAAATCATTTGTGGTTGTAGAAAAAAGCAGATGCCCATTTATTTCACTTAGTCCAATCACCACGGCTGACCTTCATCCATCAGATGCACATCTCCAATCGTGGAAAACTAATCCCATAATTATGTTTACTGCAAAACAGGCTTACGCGCGGCGGCCCCGACCAGGCCAGTTCTGAACACAAAGCCTGTCTGTCTCGAAACCATCTCTTAATGGGTTTTATTTGGGAAAATTTTATGGTTCTTCGCATGAACATAGACGGGAGAAAGTGAAACGCAACCCAGCAAGACCCTGCGATTGATGTTCGGTGAAGGGAACGAACAAAACCGACAACTCTCTAGAGCGGGAATGGATCCCATAAAAATAATATTCTTACCGTTCTACAGGACCCCTCAACCTTCGAACGACGATGCAGACGGCTACGCGACGGGCGCCGAGAGTGGAGCGGAAGACAGTTTTTACGAGGCACTTCGTGGCGCGCACTATCGCGCGCCGTTATGGATTATGTTATGCTGATGTTGATGATGATGATGGAGCGAGACAGAACAACATTCGGGTGACATTTATGCGTGAGTAATTAAAATTAAGGGCCCGGACGTAAATTTTCCGTTTGGAATTTGAATGAGTGCTAACAAAGGCGACAGCTGTCAAAATTTGTCAAACTTTGTTTGTGGAGAATTGTATTTCGAAAAAAAAAAAAAATCGCTTCAGATTATAGCATGCCATAAAAATGCGTTTTAGCTCAAACGATTCGAGCAGTTTCTTGGGTGTGTTAACATTTAGCTTCGACTGATGTGAACATAGTGTAAAGATAGTGTGAGGACAGAACCGATAAAGCGAGAAGCATGAAGAGAACAAAGTGCGACAAAGAGCGCGCGAGAGAGAGAGAGAGAACAAAGTGCAAAGCCCCTCGTATTCACAGGCGAGGGTCAGCAGCACGCGATGCGAGTGAGAGAAAGAAAGAGCGTGAGCTAAACGTTTCATGGGGTGCGTGAAGAATCGAGAAGAATGGGAAACGTAAACTCGAATAAAAAGCAGTAATGGACAGGACAGGAAAAATCGAAGGGAATTATGATGATTATGCTTGTATGCGCGTAGGTGCAGTGTGGAGCGGAGCGGATAAAGACGGGTGGAGAGGAAGTAAAGTACAGAGAGCGAGTGCAAAAGAGAAGTGAGTGAGAGCGTGAGTAGGCAGCGGCTCTGAAGAGGGCTTCGAACGAGGTAGACTTGGTAACGAACTCGGCGAGGGTTGTTTAGTTCTATTCGAACGGTTCTCGAGAGTGGTCCGGATTTTCTTTGCTCGCGAAGTTTGCGTGGATCTACGGATCCTGTCTGGCTGACGACAACGAACGACGGGTACATCGGGTAAAAGAAGACAGGTCTTGGCTTCGCTGTCGCCGCGTACGCTGTTCGTGTTTGAGAACAGAAGAAATTGAAGAAATTATGAGTTGAAGCTGAATAATAATAAGGAGGAGGAGAACTGTGCTCGAGGAAAACAAGGAGAAGACGACGAACGCGACTACGTCGGGGTCCGGATTGGTGAGTGCGTGTGTGATGAAAAGAAGCTGTGCCCTGCTAGTGAAGCGAAAGCGAGTATTTCGGAAATATGATAAAGTGAAGCTGCTGCTGGAAGCCAAATATTTAGAAGAATTGGTAATGTTTGAGTTAACGACAACGAAAAGCATGAAGCAAGTGTAAAGTGTGGATGTGTATACAAAGTTCAACGTACCCCAGTGATAAATCGGCGCAAAGTTCCTAACAATTTACAAAACGAACGAAACTCAACGAAAGCACAACTCAACGATGTCGTCAAAGGGTAACATCCTGGCCTCGGTTCCGACCGTAAGCTGTGCCATGCTGGTGTTGACACTGCTGCTGGCAAGCACGGGCGCAGGAGCTGCAGTCGAGGAGGGTGCGGTGGCACCGCCAACAACAAGTGGCGATAAAATGTCATCAGCGAATGGTTCGGGACCGCCCCGGCTGTTCCATGCCATCTTTCAAGGCTCTTCTGCGGCTGCAGCAGAGCTCAAGTCATCATCATCATCGTTGGAGAAGATGCTGGCTGGCTCTAGCCGAAGTGCCGGAGCAGTTGATAACAGTACCAACGACAATGGCAGTAACCACAAGAATCGCAGTCGGCAGTGCCGTCAAGGTTGCCTAGGAAAGGTAATTATAATCTCATTAAGTAATGGGGCATTCGGGCGCGGGTTGAAGATGGGATGGAAAGTTAGGATGTTGTTTCTTTTTCGAGGGCCCTGGGAGATTATCGATCAATCTCGGAGCCGTAGTTGCAGTCTAACAAAAAACGGAAAACTGTTTACTGACAAATCGTTAGTTTGGTCATTTGAATCTGCACCTGTAGATTACGAACTTAGCTTAAATTGTTCTCAAAGACAGTGACGAGAAATTCCGACTAGAAGAATGAAAAATGATCATCAGGTAGGAGAACCTGATTCGAGGGAACTTGGAGAAAAGGGCAGACACTCGGAAAGGAACAAAGATTAGACGTGAAACGCAATCCGGCTGCTTGACAGATGATTTATACCAATATGGTGGGTTGTTGTAAGCATTTCGGGGTTTCAACTGCGTCGAGAAGAACGCCAAGAAGTGAGAAAACTAGATTTTTGAAGTGCACTTGGAAGAGGGATGAGATGGCCTGAGAGGAGCCAGCCACTGGGAAGCGGGGTTAGACTACATGATTTTGCTATTTTTCCCGAACGAATTTCGGCGTCTTTGTGTGCGATGGTAATCCGTGAAACTCGATTTCTGGCTGCCTCGGATGCTGGCTGCTGTTGTTGTTGATGTTCTTGTTATTGTTATGTTGAAAGCGGAGACAGGGGCAATAGATAAACATCTTTTGAAGTCTGTGAACAGCCGTTACCTTTTTGTTGTTGTTGTTGTTGTTTTTGTTGCTGCGTTGCCGGATCGAAGGCTCGGAGTAAATCCGTTGATCAGCAGATTGCCACTAAGATGATGCTCCGATTGGATTGCTTTTGTTTTGATTGTCCTTCTTGCCCATGGTTCACAAACAAAAATCTGGTCATATTTGCCAATAACCAGCGAAAAACACACATATTTTGTTTTACACGAAAATCTTCTTGTAAACAAACGACATCAGAAGAGTAAATATATGCCCTCCGGGAACATTCACCGCTCACTGTGACAGTAGTCATTTCACACTTACTTCTCTCACCTTCGTTTCGGACCGGTGTGCTTTGATCTATTTGGAAATTGCGTGTACAAAGCCCGGCTCTCCTCATAAACGATTTTAATTCGTGGAAATTTAATTTGCCTTCCCCCTCCGCTCTCCGATTCCACCGCTCTGTGAATCGTTCGGTTCAAAGTGCACCAGAAGAAAGTGACAAACCCGTCCGTGCAAAATTGAACCTTTGAGCGAGCGCACACCTGAATGAGCAGCAGCGGCACGGTAATCCACACTAATTTCACGCCGAATGACAGTGCTAAAAAGCGAAAATGGAGACGAAGATTAAATTAGTTTCACCTTCCCATCCCGTTCCATCATTGTCGGTCGTGAAGTTCGGTTGGGAAGTGAAAAGGCGGCAGCTTGTCAAACGACGACGACGACGACGACGAAGGCAGCTGACAGTTGTTACGCTTTGTCTGGACGATGCCCTCACGTCTCTCTCTCTCGTCAAAGGTCTTCATGAAGAGTAGCTGAACCTGGAGGCTGCTGCTTGGGACATAAATCATTTTTATTAACCTCAGACGAAGCGTGACTCACATAATATGGATACTATTTTTTTTTGCGCACTGTCACTGAGGGAGCGTGGTCCGGTCTCGCTTATCATCCAACAGACGCACCGCCTGCATTTGATGTGTTTTGAGTGTCGGACTCGGTGCTGCCATGGCTACCGCGCAATTTTATGTTTATATGTAATTTATCTCAATATTTTGCATCCTTATTAGTGCAAATGATCCGTCTCATTGGGTGGAATTGGTTTCGATTACCTTTTGAGGTTGGTGCGCCGACGGGGGAAATGTATGACAAATGCGTCACGTACGGTGCTGCCATCTGGCTTCACCAATAACGGTCTACTTTGACTTTGATGCAGAATTTGCATCTGGTGTTTCCGCACAAGAGCGGTGTGTAGCAAGCAGCTTCTTGGCATCAACCTCGGCACATTGTGATTTCATTGGTTGTGTATGTGCGCCTCTGCACGTGTGCAAATGTCACTTTCAATTATTCATTTGCGGGCTAAGCCCTGTGCTTGTACACCGCAGGAACTTTCTCGTACGACTTCCTTCTTCACCATCCATGGCTTGGAACGTGAGAGATGTACGCTTTCAATTACTCCAATTAATTAGTGGTAACAGCGAACGAATTTGTTCCCGGTAGTAGTTCGATCTACCGCACCACCACCGGCAGCAACCTAACCTACAATTCTGATACTTTCAATTGTGGTTTCGGTTGAGTTCTGTCTCATCGGTCACATCGACCGTCGACGAACGGTTGGTAGGCAGGTACGACTCGGGCGGACTCGTTAGGAATGCTGACAAATCGCATGCGGTGATCTGACCGCTGTTACGTTCTATATGTACTTACGGCGACAGATACATGCGATTGCATGGCCACTGCCCAGTTTTCTGTTCGGAGTGTTCTGGGCTGCATAATTACACATCTTGTCCGGGTGTAGTGTGTGACAGCTGCTCGGTTTGAGTTTGTGGTTCTCCTTTCGGATGATGGCACTGCTAAATGGGGCTGGATGACTAGTTTTGGGGGCCAGTGAGGAGTGACTTCTATCAGGTGTTGAATCGATGGTTCCGGTTGTACGGGCTGATAGGAGGTTTGGTAGAAATGCTCTGTTTGGTTGGAACATGAAAAATGTAATTATCCGTCCGTTTGAACATGTGGCTGAAGACGAAGATGGTTTTTCATATTCAGTCAGTTTTGGAATGTTCAAAAAAAAAAAAAATTGTGCAGATTAAGTACTTTCCTAGAGGCGACAGTGCATGTGAGAAATGGAATTTGGAATGTTTGACAGCTGTTTTTGTTTCGTTTTGGCTTCTCTTGTTATTTCTATACAATGGAATTTGATGTTTAACATCTGTGCATTTCTCATTCTCGACTGCAACATGGATGGTTACACTTAACTGACTCAGCTGGTGACTATAGTGTCCCAGCACTGAGAACGATATGTTGCACGAAACGAATGAAGGCAGTTTATCCTACTTTTTTTTCCATTACGTACCAACTGGAACATTGTCTTGAAGTTGGTTTTGTTTGAGAACTTTTTTTAAGTTTATTCCATTTCTGTATTCGAATATCTTGATAATCATTTCAATAGATCCTATCTGCATTGATCGATTATTTTCGTCGATTTTCTCTTTCAATTATGAATGGATGAAACTCGTACATCACTACACTGTACCAAAACATCATCCTCCTTCATTCATTCGAATGAAACCTCAGACCATTCAAATCGAAACATCGAAATCGCTTTTTCAAATGATAGCTGCAACCGGATTACGGGTGTTCTGTAATCAGATGATACTCCTCTCGAATAGGAGATGAACGTTGATACGAGAAGCGATCAGAGCAAATTATTCAGAAGTGTCTTAATGTCTCAGATACAGAAGAATGCCTGGAAAGTGTTGCGTGGATGGGTGCCATGCCACATAAAGTAAGCTTTAATCATTTTCCTAAATATCTAACGGTGCGTGATAATATTCGAAGAGAACTGTGGATTGAAGCCGTAGGCATGAGAGGAAGAGACATTTCCAATAGTTTAATATGGTATATGGTTGTTCAGAATCGAGCCCGCTCGGGCATTCACTTCGTCTATACTCGAACGGATCTCGGTAACCGAGTGAACCAACTCGTTCTGATTTCGCAGCAACGCATCAACTCCGTGACGGGGAATGGTGCTCCCGAAAGCGATCTGGGGTGTAATCAGTGTTGTTTACTTTTCATGGAGTACGAACCGTAGATAGGTAAATTTGTTTCCATTACGTTAATTATTGCTAAAGCTAATGACCATTTCCTAAAACAGTCATTCCAAATATATACATGCTTTTTAAAGTGGTGAGCCAAATTTTGACGTAAAACTACGTCTGTGATTTCTATATGGAGGTACACTTTGTGAAAACCGAAAATGGAACATGTAACAAAATTATGAAAGATTTGGAACGTTAATAACTCAGCTGCCCCTGAACCAATTTCACTAATTTTATCACCACTCGTTCAGAAATATTCCTGTACATCTGCGTAAGTAAAGACTCTTTTTCATTTTTCAAAATGTCACTATTGAAAATTGCACGAATGCAACTATTGCTATGATAGTTAAAATAATCACCAATTGCCTGCGAAAAGCCATTTCCCTAGCGCATATTTCAAAGTCGAATTCCTTCCGATCTCACCAAACGGTGTTTATTCAATCACCGCGTGGTGAGTGGTGATGTTCTCCAGTTCACAACGAAAGACTGCCTGCAAGCAGCGAGCGGCAGCCTACATGACCATCCATAGAAGGAGGAAGAAGTCGCACAGCTATTGATCGGAATCAGTAGCTCTTACTGAGTCGCTGTGGGCCATATATGTCAAGTGCTAAAGAGTATAAACCTTCTAGTCTTAGAGTTACCTCTATGGTATTTTTCATTTTGCAGTTCGAGCTTCCTCTGGTAGTCCTGATAATCCTGGCTTAGCTTGGTCTGATCCTGATCCTGGGACTTTCTCCTTGGTCTGTCCGGGGATATGCTGCGACGTGCTAGGGATGTTGAATGGTTAAATTTTCACCTGTCACTTTTGAACACAATTCAATAAATCATAGCCTTCTACAACTGTGCCATAACAATGGTAAGCGTCTGTAAAAGATAAATCAGCCCTCGGCGAAACTATGGCGAGCAAGGGGTAGGTCACTTCGCACACCAATCGTGGGTCATCTTTTTTGTCAGTGAGCCCAGGTGTGTCGATTGTGCCGGTCATAGAGTGAGCTGCGATTGTTTGTAAAATATCCATCCCGGCAACCCGGTATTTCTGACCCCTTGAATGTTTTGGTTTGAAATCGCAAGGATAAATCGGATCAAGGATGACGCGGGAAGTGGCGGGTGTTTGAAATTTTGGTGTTTTGCGTTCGTAGGATAATAAAAGTCCTGTGTTTTAGGGTTTTATATTGCCCTCAAAGGCAGACCAGAAAGCTAGCCTTTCGTGA